ATCAACATCTTATTACAATGGGATTCAGTAGATCAAAACATGATTACTGCTTATATACAAAGTTCGAAAATTCCAACGTTTTGTATATAATCATGTACGTAGATGATTTGCTAATTGCCGGAAGTAGTTCAAATCTAATAGAATGTTTCAAAAATCAATTGTGCAGAAGATTTCAATTGTCTGATTGCGGAAAACTTAAGCATTTCTTGGGGATGAAATTTGAAAACGATGGAGAAAACATGATAATATCTCAAGAAGCAAGTATCAATAAAGTTTTGGAAAAATTCTCAATGATGGATTGTAATCCAGTGAAGACGCCGATGGATAAAGGGTTAAAATTATATTTAAACAAAAATCAAAATAAAATCGATAAACCCTATAAAGAATTGCTTGGAAGTTTGATGTACATTATGCTGTGTGTCAGACCAGATATTTGCTTTCATGTCAGTTACCTAGGTCGTTTTCAACAACATCCGTCTGATGATCATTGGCAAGCACTTAAAAGAATTTTAAGATATCTGAAAGGTACCGTAAAGAAGAAACTTATATATAGTCCAAATGATTCAAACCCTCTAGTGGGCTACGCAGATGCTGACTGGGCCAGTGATGAAGTAGACAGAAAATCTGTTAGTGGATATGTGTTTAAGGTGTATGGCTGCACAGTATCCTGGGCAAGTAGAAAACAACAAACGGTTTCAACATCTTCAAATGAAGCAGAATACGTAGCATTAAGTACTGCTGTATCAGAGGCCATTTGGTTACGCGGTATACTTCAGGATTTAAAAATAATTAAAAATGATGCTGTACCAATTTATGAAGATAACAATGGATGTATATGTATGGCGTCCAATGTTGAGAGCAAGAGATCTAAACACATAGATATCAAGCATCACTTTATCAGAGACTATATTGAAAAAGGAGTAATTAAAGTGGAACCTATTGGAACTGCAAATCAACTGGCTGACATGTTTACAAAAACTTTAGATAATTGTAGATTTGTTAAACTTTGTAATTGTTTAGGATTGCATGATTGAGAAGGGGTATTGTAGAAAAGCAATCATAGACTTATGTTTTTAGTATTTGAAATATTAATTGAATATTTCTTAACTCTCTTGTAAACTTTTCATAGACAAACTTGTCTTAAATTTTCTTTTTAAATTATTATAAATAAATTATTTTTATTTAACCAACATATCAAAACCAACATTATTTATAATAACTAGACTATAGACTAGACTATAGACTAGACTATAGACTAGACTATAGACTAGACTATAGACTAGACTATAGACTAGACTATAGACTAGACTATAGACTAGACCAACGTTTCCCAAATGGGGGTCCGCGGACCCCTAGTGGTCCGTAGTAAAATCCTAGGGGGTCCGCGAAGACGAACGAAAAAAACATGAATAAACAATATTCTTTTATATGTATGTACAAATATCTCCAATTTTTGTGCAATAATCCCAAATTTTTTGGTGACTTTTTGAATTTTATTTTTTCGGTTGTTTATCAGGAAGAAGCTAGGCCCTACAAATTTATTGTATAACTTTTATGAAGTAAAGTATTGCGTGTTTTGTAATTTTTATTTCCTGTATATGTACTGAAATAATGGTTTTTATTTCAGACAAATAATACTCTGCCTTACAATTAAATTAGGGATATTGGTATTCCGGAGTATGAAGTTCAATTCAAAGACAAGCTTATTACAGATTTAAGTTTATCAAATTGTAAGCAAAAGTGTTCTTGTTTGAAAGGACTAAAATTATATATTTTCAAAACAGAGGTGACTCTTTATGTATCTCTTTATAAATATTCCAATCCGACGTGATACACAGATTTTAACTTGATTTTGTCGACCAATACATATTATTAAATTAACATCAGAAAATCCATAGCGTTTCGCGTAAATATGTAGCCAAAAACCATGAAGTAAAATAATTCGTTGGTATTTTAAAATTCAAATTTAAGTTCCAAATTCACAGTACTTTAACAAAGAGTTCAAATCATATATTATGCGGATAACGCATTCCGCAACAACATAGAAGAAGTCCAACTTTCTTATATTATTTTCCCGAAAACTTAGCTCACTTACTCAGTTCACCCTTTGCAATCGCAACAAATTTTTGAAACGTGACTTCTTAAGCACATGTAACAATATACTGGTGCATATTCCTATAAACGCACATCACTTTTTTTCAACAAATTAGAAAAAGTGAAACTAACAAAAAATTTGCGGGGTACTAATTGGTTTATTAAATTAGTTAAGACTTCGTTTACAATATGATAAATATTAAACTTAATTTGTACTTCATATTATTTTTTTTAACTTAATTTTAGGATTTAACTTCCATTTTGAAGGGCATTTTCCTATAAACGCACTTCAATAAATGAGCCAGTTTACTGTTTTTAATAGTGAGTGGATGTTCCTTTATTGTGGATTACTTCGAGAATGAGATCTGGCATTGATTCAACTAATTTTTTAAGGAGATCGGCATCAGTTTCCTCCCAGACTTGTTTAATTTTTAGTTTTAACTCTGAAACTGTCATTATGCTTTCATTCTGGGCATTAGTTGCGTAAACTATGCGGGCCATGTACCCCCACAAGTTCTCCATAGGATTTATGTACGGACTGCATGCCGGCTAGTCCAAGAGGGGAGTGCTATGTCCATGAAACCATACTTTTGGTTGCTTAGAAACATGGATTGCTGCATTATCGTGTTGAAATATGCAGTCGTCTTCCATTTTTTCATCCATAAATGAAATGAGACCATCTTCATTATAAATTTGGCTGTTCATTTTTGTTGGAACGAAGCGTATTTTTGAATTTCCAGCTGCAGAAAAAGCTGCCCAAACCATCACACTCCCTCCACCAAAATTGCGATTTGACATACCTACGTCGTTTGACCTCAAATCATGCCAATAGCAAGAGTATGAATCTGGGCCATCTAAATAAAAGTTTTTTCATCTGAGGCAATTACTTTTTTCCCCTCATCACCCAATTTCATTTATTTTCATGCAAATTTGAGTCGGTTTTCTTTATGCTGATTTTTAAGCATTGGCTTGCACTTGGTTTTCTTCCATTTAATGTTACCATCTGTTCATAAAATGTGTGCAAAGTGTTTGGAAGTCCCAGGAAGGTTAAGTTTAGTGATTATTTAAGTTGCAATTAATTTATTGCGGGCTGGCTCTTGTTTTATGAGATTAAACTATCATCTTGTTAATTTTTTATTTCCTTTTGTAGGTTTTCGTACTCCATATTTTGGACCTTTCTTGATAAAATTGAGAACAACACCTTCAAAACGTCCAATTTTGCGAGAAATTTCTCTATTAGAGCACTCTTGGTTAAGAAAAAATTTTATTTAAATTTTTTCCTGGTCAGAAAAAAAGTTCCCTTGGGCATCGTTTAAAGTTATGAAATTTTTCGATAAAACCCGAAAATTTTATCGGAAATGAAAATTTTGCTACAAAAACATAACTTTAGTTGAAAAAAAAAAAAACTAAAATTGTTCAAAAAAATTTCTTTGTCACTTTTTAAAAACAAAATTCGCGTCTGCGTTTATAAGAATCTTCCACTTAAATTAACAGCAAGATCATTTTATTGCCTTGTAAAGGAATATAGCAGAAGTGAGAAAACCGATTTGCTTACATTTAAAAAATACCGCCATGTCGCTTCTCATTTAGAGTCTTCAACATTGCTTTTGCACAAGAACAACAAATATATAACAAAAAAGGAGAAAAAAATTAAGTCCGTTTATAGGAATATGCACCAGTGTATTTGATAAAGAAACCTTTTCGCTACCTTGAAGAAATATGAATATGAAAGATCCCACGATCATAAAATTAAACATCATGTTAACATATCAACAATGAAGTCATTCTATCTTCAAAACATGCAATTGAAAACCTATCTGAAATATTATATATTCTCAATGTACGGGAATATTTTATAGATATGACATCTCTACATTTATTAGACCTAGGGATTAATGGACTAGGTCAATTTTCGGATGGACAATTATTTAGAACAATAAGATATCAAAATATGTATGGGGGTCCGCGAAATTAAATAAGTTCTTTAAGGGGTCCGCGAAGTAAAAATCGGTGGGAACCGCTGGACTAGACTATAGACTAGACTATAGACTAGACTATAGACTAGACTATAGACTAGACTATAGACTAGACTATAGACTAGACTATAGACTAGACTATAGACTAGACTATAGACTAGACTATAGACTAGACTATAGACTAGACTATAGACTAGACTATAGACTAGACTATAGACTAGACTATAGACTAGACTATAGACTAGACTATAGACTAGAGTATAAATGACTTTCAGAATTTTTTTTTCTCAAGAAATTAGTAGTAGTAACCCTCGTTTTTCCATTGATATAAATAATCTCACACAAATTAAAACAAAATTAAGTAAAATTTTCGTATTATTATGAATAAATTTTTCGCCAAACATTGATCAGTTAAAGTGCATTTAATTAAATTACATCGAGTATAATTTTACGATTACTTCTGATTGTGTGTGTTTAAATTTAAATGGACTTAAGGGAAATGTTATCAAACCAATTAGATATTTAAACGTATAATTGTATTATTTGCATTTCTGTGAAGTGGGACTACTTAGGAAGCTAATAACTTTGTCTTTATTATACCGTAACATGATATCAAAAAAGCACTTTAAATTATACAAAAAAAGTTAAATTCATTTTGTTAATAGACTTTAGAAATAATAGTAGATATATCTAATATATTATAATCTTTTGGAACCTATGTACATCTATAGGTCTATTTTTATTGGCAAAAGTTTAAACAAAGTTCAAAGTCATTTTTTGTTATTTTATTTGTGAACTGCATATTTATCGTTATTAAAAATCGATTTGATAACACTATTTTTTAAATTATTATTGTTTCAAATTAAATGTTTAAATAAATTATTTAAATAAAAATTCTAAATTATATATTTATTATTATTTTTATTTTAGATTTGTCCAACAAAAATGGCCTGTTTTTGTGAAATGATAGGGCTCGCCTGTTTAGTGGCGCTCCTTATGAGTTTTTCCAATAAGGCACCATATCAGCTAAAAATGGCCATATTTTTAATTGGTTCAGGAGCCATTGTACTTATTTGTATACCATTTATGATATTCAGACCAAGAGATTATAAAAATGCATTGTAAGTTTAATAAAATTTATAAAATTTGTAATCTATTAATTATTTGTTTCATTTTTAAAACTAGTGGACCCGCCTGGGGTTGCCGACAGTTGTGTAAAGCTTTGGGCGTGACCATGGAAGTAAGAGGTCTAGAAAATATACGCAAAAATACTGGTAGTGTAGTTTTAATGAATCATCAAAGTGCTTTAGATCTTTTAGGTAAGTAACGTTTGCCTAGATTTCCCTTTTCGCATGATTTGTATTATCTTTTATATTCACAGTTTTGGCTTATCTTTGGCCCGTGATTGGACGTGCTACCGTTGTCTCCAAGAGAGAAGTTTTATATTTACCCTTTTTCGGTTTTGGTTCCTGGCTGTGGGGTACATTATTCATTAACAGATCTCGCAAATCAGACTCGATAAATGCTCTGAAAAAAGAATCAAAAGCTATTAATGAAAGGGGCTGCAAATTACTACTCTTCCCCGAAGGTACACGCAATTCCAAAGATACCTTGTTGCCTTTCAAAAAAGGTTCCTTCCACATTGCCCTCCAGAGTCAATGCCCCATACAACCGGTGGTCATATCGAAATATTGGTTCTTAAATAGCGAAGAGAAAACCTTCCGATCCGGTCATGCCATTATACAAATTTTACCCGAAATTCCTACAGCTGGCTGCACAACGGACGATATGGATGCCATAATCGATAAAACTAGAAATATTATGCAATCAGAATATACTAAACTTAGCCAGGAAGCTAAGGCCATAAATTCTAAAAAGCAAAATTAAGTAATAGATCACCTTTACATGAACATTTGAACATCAAAAAATAACGAATTAATTGACAAACCACAAGAAATTCTAGTTTTAACTCAGGTATTGTAGCATCAATTTCCTAAAGCAAAAACCAAAAAAAAACATAAATAATTTTGTATTGATTACAAAAAGCAAACCAAAAAGACGGACAAAGAAAACATCTAAATCGTAAATCGAAGAACAACCAAAAAAGTATTTGCTAAAGCAATTAATTTAGAGAAACTGTTTAAAAAATGATAAAATACATTTCTCGGCGATAACTTTAAAACTTTTTTCTTCTGCTTACCGTAACGAAGTAAAAAAAAATTAAAAAAGAGACAACGTACGAGTACTTTGTTTATAAAGATTTTCTTTATTTTTTATTATTGTTTTAAGTTATTAGATATTGTATTTATTCTATATTTGAAATATATTCATAGTAAATTTAACTAATTTTAATAAAAATGCGTTTAAAAAGAGAGATAAAAACAACCAACAAACACACAATTTATGAAGTAAATTTGAGTTTTATTTAAAAGAGAATGTGATATGTATAATAGAAATGGTTAGTATCTACCAGCTTAGTAAAACTTCCGTTGAATATTTATTGTCTAAAGGAAATGCAAAATATAATGATAATACAGAGTTAAAACTGTATTATCTACCTTGGAAACACCAATGTTAAACAGCGATGGGATTCAGTACTTACTTACTTACTTACCTACCTACCTACTTACTTACTTACTTACTTACTTACTTACTACTTACTTACTTACTTACTTACTTACTTACTTACTTACTTACTTACTTACTTACTTACTTACTTACTTACTTACTTACTTACTTACTTACTTACTTACTTACTTACTTACTTACTTACTTACTTACTTACTTACTTACTACTTACTTACTTACTTACTTACTTACTTACTTACTTACTTACTACTTACTTACTTACTTACTTACTTACTTACTTACTTACTTACTTACTTACTTACTTACTTACTTACTTACTTACTTACTTACTTACTTACTTACTTACTTACTTACTTACTTACTTACTTACTTACTTACTTACTTACTTACTTACTTACTTACTTACTTACTTACTACTTACTTACTTACTTACTTACTTACTTACTTACTTACTTACTTACTTACTTACTTACTTACTTACTTACTTACTACTTACTTACTTACTTACTTACTTACTTACTTACTTACTTACTTACTTACTTACTTACTTACTTACTTACTTACTTACTTACTTACTTACTTACTTACTTACTTACTTACTTACTTACTTACTTACTTACTTACTTACTTACTTACTTACTTACTTACTTACTTACTTACTTACTTACTTACTTACTTACTTACTTACTTACTTACTTACTTACTTACTTACTTACTTACTTACTTACTTACTTACTTACTTACTTACTTACTTACTTACTTACTACTTACTTACTTACTTACTTACTTACTTCTTACTTACTACTTACTTCTTACTTATTACTTACTTACTTACTTACTTCTTACTTACTTTACTTACTTACTTACTTACTTACTTATTACTTACTTACTTTACTACTTACTTACTTCTTACTTACTTACTTACTTACTACTTACTTACTTACTTTACTTTCTTCCTTACTTACTACCTTACTTACTTACTTACTTACTTACTACTTCCTTTCCTTCATTCAACTTATTTACAATTCCTATTTATCGAAATTCCTTCCGTTGTTCAATTCATCTCCTACCGGAACACGAAATAATCGATAATGCCGTGCACAAACTGTTTTAACAACCTAGGAAATTTTTTTAAAAATTGATAAAGATGTTCTTCAACAGAGATGGTATTCTTATTTATGTATTTGTCCAAAGAAATTTTTACCTAATAGCTGATTCCGCTTTTTTAATTTACTATAATTTTATATTTACTTCATATTTAATTGTAATTTAAATCACATTTAAATATAATTTCATTTATTCTTGATAACATAAACATACATATTTTACTGTGAAAGATGTTAATTTAAAACAATGACAACTTTCCCACCCTGATTGTTTTACACATGTTTTTGTTTACTTTCTTTTGTAAGAGGTGTGGCAACTCGCAGAACAAAAGTAAGTTTTTTGGTGTTGCATTTTTATAAACATTTTTTTCATTTCACAATTGTTAATGCATTTTGATGAGATCTACTTTATTTAAAAGAAAATAATAAAAACTGAAACGTAAAACATGGGTGTAACCGGCCTATGGAAATTAATAGAGCCCTGTGGTAAACCTGTGCCGGTAGAAACGTTGGAGGGAAAAGTTCTAGCCATAGGTAAACATTTTTCACAGTTCTGAAAATTTTAAGCCAAAATTAAATATAACCCCCTTAAAATTGTTAGATATATCTATATGGTTACATCAGGCCATTAAGGGGTTCCAAGACAACAAGGGAGCTGCTCTGAATAATGCCCATTTATTGGGGTTGTTTCACAGATTATGCAAATTAATGTATTACCGGGTTAAGCCCGTGTTTGTATTCGATGGTTGTGTACCGCAATTGAAAAGAGATACTATAGTAAGTTTTAGTTATTAACAAATTATAAAGAAAGCTTTGTTAAAAGAAAACACTTTTATACAGGCTCGACGTCAACAGCAACGAAGTAAACTTAACAGTGAGGCAGATCGTATACAGGCTCTACTGCTGCAATCTTTGGCCAAAGAAAAAGTAGTACAACAGGCTCTGGGCCCTAATGCCGAGCTCTTGTTAACCTCACCCATTAAGAAATTAGCGGGAAATAAAGCTAGCCGTAAAGAGGATACCGTGGATGATATGTTTAAACTTCCCGAATTGCCCTCTAACTCTAAAAGTAAACCAAATGAAGATGAAACTACAGATGAATCCTTTAATGAAAGCTCTTATTATGATGATGATGAATATACCACCACCTCAGCCACTGATTCTTCATTTGATGAATCGAATCCTCGCGTTGCTTACACTTCCAACATTCAAGCTATTGATGTAAGAAGTAAAGAATTTCTGCAGTTGCCCGCTGATGTTAGGTATGAAATATTGGTGGATATAAAGGAAACTCGTAAGCAATCATCATGGGGTCGCTTGCATGAGCTACCCTCACGCAATGATGATTTTAGTAATTTTCAAATGAAACGTTTACTTAAACGGCGTGATGTCCAAGTCAGTCTTGAGACGGCCGAACAGGAAATGGGTGGTCGCACCTTAACCTACGCTGAGCTAACAAATATATTTAGTGAAGAAGGGATTTTAGAGACAGACATTGTTGAAAAGGGTACCAAACAAATCAGTTCAGATGAGCACACCCGTTTCCTGCTGGTTAAAGATTTAAAAAAGAAACTAGCACAAGCCAAAGAAGAACCAATTAAGGAGGAAAAGAAGGAAATTAAAGAAGAAGAGAATAAAACAAAAGTGGCAGAGGATGAAATTAAACCTTCAACTTCTAAAGAGTCTGATAAAAAATTGGGTAATGAATATGATGCCGATTTGGAACTGGCTATTGCTTTATCTCTACAAGATGACGCTGATAAGGTATATGATGAAAAAGATTATGATTACGATTCCGATGAAAGTCTTAAATTGACTAAAGCTCAGCGTCAACAATTGCAAAATGCTGCCAAAGGACCGGCTCGTTCATATATGATCGAATATGCGGGCATGAATAAGGAAGAAGTTGCTGGGATTTTGGAGAAAACCCAAGTAAATCCAGATTTTGATGATACTTTAGATATTGAGCGTTTAATTGGTGATGCAGGTGAAAAGGCAAAAGAAAAGTAAGTTCATCTATCTATCTATCTATCTATCTATCTATCTATCTATCTATCTATCTATCTATCTATCTATCTATCTATCTATCTATCTATCTATCTATCTATCTATCTATCTATCTATCTATCTATCTACCTATCTATCTATCTATCTATCTATCTATCTATCTATCTATCTATCTATCTATCTATCTATCTATCTATCTATCTATCTATCTATCTATCTATCTATCTATCTATCTATCTATCTATCTATCTATCTATCTATCTATCTATCTATCTATCTATCTATCTATCTATCTATCCATCTATCTATCTATCTATCTATCTATCTATCTATCTATCTATCTATCTATCTATCTATCTATCCTTTTATCTGACCATAATAAACCACTTTTTTAGGGAACCTACAGAAGAAGACTCTTGCAAGGATAAAACTAACAACAATGAAAGTCAAGATATACGTCTTTGTGTTACGGATTCCGATGCTACAGATTCAGATTTAGAAGAAGTTGAAGATTCACAGAAGCTTATTTCAAACACCTCTAAATTTAAAACCGATTTGAATTTAGCTAAAGATATTGGTAAAACTACTGTAGAACTAAATAAAGCAAAAGATGTAGAGGGAACTGATTCCGATTTAGAAGAAGTTAAAGATTCCGATGCTACCGATTCTGATTTAGAAGAAGTAGTGGATACTACAACATTAAAAAGTAAATTAAATAATAAAATGCTAGATTTAGAGGATGAATGTGTAATAGAAGAAACCCCACCCTGTTTAGCAGATGAAGAATTGGAAACAAAAACATCACAAGTTATAAATATTCAAATTGATTTGAGTAAACCTTTAGAACAAGAAGATGATCTGTTCGCCGATATATTTGCGGATTCACAGGGTAAAGAGGAAATCATAGAAGAAACGCCCGCATCTATTAAAGAAGAAGATAGAAAACAAGAGAAATCTTTGAATAAAGAAATCAAACCTTTACTTTTAAATGAAGTAATACCTAAACCACCAAAATCCGAGAAAATACTGTCCATTTTAGATGAATTAAAACAACAAGCTGAGGAAGTTAAAAATATCAAACTGGAAAACATTAAACTAAGTGATTCTGTCATTGAGCTCTCCGATGATGATGAAGCTGCCTTAAAATGTTCTAAAGTTAAAAATGAAATAATAGAAGTCTGCGATAGTGACGACAATGATAAAAGACCTTCAACCCCACCGCCGCAATTAATGCGTAACACAAATCAATCTCCCAGAAACAGCTCCAAGTCTCCTAAATTTAAAACTCCATCTAAGAATCATTCGATAACAGAATTTTTCAATGTTGATTATGTGGTAAAGCGCACACCGGATAAACCCTTAGAAGGGGAAAACGAAGTGGTGCCCAAAGTAAAATCACCATTTTTTGTGCGTAAGACACCAAGATCGGGGCGCAAAAGTGGCAGTAATTCTCCCTCACCCAATAAAAAGTCATCAAAGGCGACTAAAACTTTATTCGGGCAAGATAATGAAAGTTCTGCAAAAGATATGGCCACTAATTTGGATAATGATTTTGTACCTTTAAAGGAACCGCAAATAGTAAGTGACAAAGATGTTCTCACAGAAGCAGCCAATATTTTAAAATCACAAAAAACCCATGAAGAACTTAATACAATAGCCTCAGATTTGGCCAAAGAAAGAAGAGATTTAGAAAATGAACGCAATCGCCAGGATCGTATGGGCATGTCTATAACACAACGCATGAATTCTGATTGTCAAGATTTATTACGTCTGTTTGGGGTGCCCTTCATTGTGGCACCCATGGAGGCAGAAGCCCAGTGTGCATTTCTAGATATAGTACAACTTACCAATGGCACCATAACAGATGACAGTGATATCTGGCTGTTTGGTGGTCGCACTGTTTATAAGAATTTTTTTGCCCAAAATAAACATGTTTTAGAATTTCGTTCGGAACAAATTGAAAAAGATTTCAATTGTGATCGCAAGAAATTAATACAATTGGCTTGTCTTGTGGGTAGTGATTATACAACGGGTAAGTGATGTGTTTGTTTTTTTTTTTCAGTTTTACAGATAGGATTTGATCGCGAAATTAAAAAAAAAATAATAAAATTTTAAATATTCCAGGTATTCATGGTATTGGCACTGTAACTGCCTTAGAAATTTTAGCTTCATTCACACCCAAGGATCTTATCAATAACCCCGAAGATTCCTCCACAACATCCATACAAAACATTCTCATCACGCTGCAAAGATTTCGCAATTGGTGGCAATCTTTTAAGTCAACTGCAGCACCTCCTGGCACTTCAGCACGTTTGGCTTTACAGAAGAAATTAAAAAATATCGAACTACATGAAGGATTTCCCAATACTGCAGTAGTCGAAGCCTATTTAACACCCAAAGTAGATGAAAATAAAGAAACCTTTACTTGGGGTTATCCAGATGTAGAGTCATTAAGAGAATTTGCTAAGAAAAATTTTGGTTGGACCACAAGTAAAACGGATGAAATACTTAATCCCGTTTTAAAGAAATTAAATGAGAAACGAACACAACAATCGATACGTAATTATTTTAATGTTAAAAATGCTTTAAGCTTAAGACAAATTAAGGTTAGTAAGAGAGTGCAAAATGCCATTGAGAAAATGTCAGGTAATGTGGACTCAGATGAGGCGGCTGAGAAGCCTACAAAAGCTAAAAGAGCTAGAAAAGCTCCCACGGCGGCAGGAGGTAGAAAAAAGATAGAGGTGGTTTCAAAACCCGAAGAGGAGGAAGTAAATAATGTTAGTTTAGTTATAGAACCCAATCGTAGCGAACAAATAGCCAGAGGTCCCATAAGAAGAGCCAGTAAACGTGTTAATATACCAGAAACCAAACAAATTATACCACAACGTGAAAAAGATTTGGCACAAATGGAAGCTAATAAGAAATTAGCAGCAGAGATTTTAAAAAAGACTGCCAAAGAAACCAAAAGAAAACGTAAGACCTAAAAAAAGGGGAAGATAAACTTTAGAGAAAACTTTAAGTTATAATAATTATTATGTAAACTATTTTAGCATGTATATTTTTAATTTTAACAAATAAATATATTTATTTTTCTAATTCAAAAGCATATAAATAATTATCACGTGAACCCACATAAACATATTTATCTTTTAAGCAACAGGGTGAGGAAAAAACTTCAGCTTGCAAATGATATGATGCTAAAATTTCTCCTTTAATTAAATCTATTAACACCATTAAACCCAGAGTGGAACAGGCTAATATATATTGTTGGGATATAACAATAGGCGTAGAAAATACCGCCGCATTTAGAGGAACTTGCCAATGTAAAGTTAGTTCTTTTGTATTATGTGCGAATTTCAAACAGTAGACATTTTTATCATGACAACCAAATATTATAAAACTGTAATTGGCATTGTGAGGCTGATGTAAAGTCACGCCAGAAAATACATTACCCTCCGTTTGAAAAGCACAAATCTGAAATTTTAAAGAAGATTATTTAAAAATAAATCTATTGATATGGCTATAAACTACCTTTTCTCCATTTTCTGCTTTGCATATGAAAATTGAACCCCTGACTTCTGCCAAAATTATAAAACTTTCATGTGAAGTTTGTAGTTTTGCCGGAGTAGAAAATACAGGAGATTCTAGTTTTTGTAACCATTTAATGGAACCAATTTCAGCTTCTATTAAGGCATAAGTACCATCCAAAGTACAAAATAACACAGAATGATCCATAATTTGCAAAGGTGAAGAAAAAATGCCTTTGGAACCAAGTTTTAAGCTCCAAATTGGAGATAAGCTCTAAAAATATAATCTTATGAAAAATGTTTACCTTTTTCTAAGTTGAGCGATTACTTACTCTTAAATCAAATGCCATGATATTGTTCTGATCCGCATATGAGGCAACAATAACCATATTTTTAATAACTAAAGGTTTTGCCTTAATCATACCCTTAACATTTAACTTCCAACTTATGCTGCCATTATTGAAATCAAAGCCATATAAATAACCATCGTAACAACCCACTAAAGCCAGTTGCGAAGTAACAAATACCACCGAGCATTCTATACGATCATTTAGTTCCACGCGAGAAATTTCTTCACCACTTTGGTTATTTAGCGTCAATAATAAATGGGAATGAGAACCTACAGCCACCACCTTGTCTTGGTATAAAGAGGGTGTAGCATCTATGCATTTTTTAAGATTACAACGCCATAGCTGCTTAAAGCTAGTGGTATAATTTTCTAATCCCTCACATTTCTCATTGGATTCATGAGAATTTTCTAATTTTTTTGTGGTAATCGTTAAAAAATTTAATATTTCTTCAATTGTTGTGGAATTATCCAAAAGCATTTCCAATATTCTACGTTTATCATCATTGTGTTCCATTAGATCTGCTATTTCAGTGGCTAAACTTAAAGCCTGAAATGAAGTACCACCCGCCTGCAAAAAGCTTACATTTCTATACAATTTTAAACGTTTTACGCAAGTTTCATCTTTAGCTTTCGTATCTTCTTGATCAGTTAATTGGAAACCCATTACATTTGTTAGAAAATCTTGAAATATTTTAACAGCTGAAGAACCTATTTTCTTTACAAATATTTCATTTAAAATCTTTTTACGATCCACTTTACCATGACAATTTAAAGGCAATTCATTGCCATATAAAACTTTATCAGGTTGTTCATGATTATCTAAATTTTGTTTAAAATTATCAAGTATAATGTATCGTTCCTCTAAGGGTACTTTATTACTGTTTACTAGATAAAATATAAGTTTGGAGGATTCTCTGTGCCACAAGGAAATTACTTTATAACATACATTTTTGTTACTTAAAAGATGTTCAACTTTTTTACTTAAGGAATCTGGAAAATGTAATTTAAACTCTCAAAATTTTCTACATTGTGTTTTTAATAATAAACTAATGCACTTACCCAAACATAAACGTTTTCCCAAACGTTTAACAGTGTTATTTGTGCGTCCAAGATAAAATAAATTTCCACTAGCATCACGTTGTACCAGATCTCCAGTTTTACGATAAATAACATCTTTTAATTGCATTATTTTAACATCATCGCCATCTAATTGTGGTATAAAGCAAAATCTTGTAGAGCTGCCTATTTCTAGCTCGCCTTTACAATTCGTATGTTGCATAATATTGCCGTATTCGTCTAGTAAACGCAAGAAAGTATAGTCATCTAAAGGTTTTCCTAAAGGTATTCCACAATCTTTTGTTTCGGCTTGGTTATTAAACTCATAAATACTAGACCAACAGGAAACTTCAGTTATACCATAGATATTGAAAATCCGCTTGCCAGAGTTAGAAAAATCTAAAGGCAGCCATGTTTGCAGTTCTAATGCGGCAGGAAAATCTTCACCGCCTAAAATTAAACATCTTGAAATTAAGAAAATAAATAGTTTTGCTAAAATATTGTCTTAAAATTTATATTTCTTACATTACCTTAAACTAGATTTATTAACTAGTATCTCATCATGTATGCTTTGTTTTCCAAACAAACGAAACAGAGAAGGTGTAGTTTGAAATATTGAAACTCCTGGAAACATTACCTTAAGTAATTGTTGTGGCTGTAATCTTATTTGTTTGCTTGTAATTAAAACACTGGCTCCTGTTTTTAAAGCTAGAAATAGTTCAACTACAAATGGATCAAATGAGGGAGGAGAACCAAGGAATATAACATCGTTTTGTTGAACATTCAGCAAACAACTTAAAAATTATAAAATTAACTAATTGCAACAATATTTTTAAAAATGTTTATGTTTATAAAATACCTTAAAGATGTTATATTAGGTTCTATACACTCAAAGGGTACATGAACCATTTTCGGTGCACCAGTACTGCCGGAAGTTGCTATAGTATAACATAACTTTACATTTTCAATGTAATTTTCGTTTACCCTTGAATCCAAATAGTAAATATTATTAAAAATATTTAGGTTCTTCTTGGTTTGTTTTGAATTGTCACCCGATGTTTGAAATTTAGTTGATATTACATATTTAACACCACTTAATCTCAAATACTTATCGGCATCTTTGGTTTCATCGAAATCCAGACAATAGAAATGACAATCGTGGTTAAGTATGCTTTAAAATTAAAAAAAGTAACGTTATTTTTCAAAACGAGGAAGATATTCATTGAAATTTGCTGGTACTACAATGATTACAGATTCTTCATTGGAAATAAAGGACTGCTTTCAATTAGAGTTCGTTGTTGGTGCAACAGAAGGTTACTTATCATATCAGAAGGTTACTTTCATTACCGAAACATTCTACTTCCGCATATGTACATGTTATTCAATTTATTGTTTATAATTACCTTAATAACAAAACGATAGATGCTGCCGAATGTTCCTTGATATCGACAGCAATTCCAGCATGATTTTGCACTTGATATTGTTGAAAATGTGCTATACATTTTGAAGTTTCCTTTAAAATAGTTTCATAACTATAAATATTTTCATTTTCCAATGATTTACGTTCATAAATAAGGGGATTATTTTGATAATTTTCTAAAAATTTTAAATTATAGAACTTTTTAGACATTTTTTTTTGTTTACAAAATATATTTTACAAATTGACAACACTTGTCAAACAGTTTTTTGGAGATAAACAGTAGTTGGCAATGCATGAAATGAAGTGTGATGTTGCCATATTTTGTGTAGTTGTACAGTATTTGAGTTCATTACATTGTAAAATGTTAAGCGGTGAAATTTTGTTTAAATAATACATATGTGTAAATTAGTTCAATTTTTTTAATACTGATTCGAAAAACACTATACAATGGGTAATGTTTTTTCATCACTTCTAAAGAAATGCAAATAGGACACTATGCGGCCTGTTGTGTGTTCCCTTATCAGAGTCTGTAGAGAGATCGAACCCACGACCGTCATAAGCGGCACTCGATTTTGACAATTCATATTCTATTTTGTAATGTATATTTTTCAATTTTAATAAATTAAAACAAGTTCAGTGTTATAAATAAAAAGTTGTAAAAATTAAAAAGTATAAAAAATAATACCATTCAAATTATAATTTTTTATATTCACTTCTTTTTTCTAAAATGTTTCACTTATAATGGATGAACTTACAGTAAAAAAAAAATATTTTGACGATGGAATGTAAAATTATCTTTCGGATTTCTGATTGCTTTTTCATAAAATTATATAGTTTCAAAATATGTTTCTAAAAATTACTACAATCTATTTACAAATGGGACACACAATATGATTCTATGAATAATTTTTTTATATTTTTTGAAAAGGTATCAATTACACTAAAGCGCCTTGGCGACACATCAAATTGTTTGACTCAAACGGTAAGTTTTTTGATAGTGTTAGTAAAAAAACTCAAACCGCATATATACATGTGAGTTTACACTAACACAATAAAAAAACTTACCGTTTGAGTCAAACAAATTTGATGTGTGGCCGTGTCGCTTAAAATTTTAAATTAAAATGTCTTAAATCTCTCAATTTCTATTAAAAGTTATTGTTTTTGTTCCATTGATCTTTTTTGAACTGTCCCATTTATCACTACATTCCCCTGCAACGCCTTTTTAAAAGCAACAGTTTTTCTTGTGCAAAGAACATGTGGCAACACCGCCAACTCTGTCAGATTGACACATTTCAATTTGTTTTCATTTTTTTAGTACAAGCAAAATTTTTTTTGTTAAAAAGTAGAAATATTTACTATTTATGTGAAAATTAATTAAAAATATCTATAAATTATTAAAAAATAATAAAAAAAACCCAAATTAATAAAAGCACTGGCCGATTTTTGTAAAAAAGGCTAAAGTGCAATTAAGTGTACTGAAGAGAGTGTAAAAAGAATTCTAGAAGTTTTTTTGTGAGGCGGTCATGTTCAGCAGACACTCACCCTTGAAACGTAAACACAATGAATATCATGATCCAGACTATCCTCAACAGGAATCACAAACAGCAGAGGAAGAGGAGGACGATGATACACCGGGCTGTAGCACACATTTTGCAAGTAAGCGAAGAAAGCCCGGCGAGGAGATTAAAACAGAAAATGAAGCGCCAAATGAAAATTATTTACATAAAGTGAGACAGGTCATAGAAAGAGAATTCCAAAAAGAGATTGTCATGAAACAACAACAATTGGAAGAAATTGATGAAAGATTAGAAAAGGCTAAACACCTGTTGGATCGGCTGCGTTATGGTATAGTATCGGCCTATTATAAAAAACAAGAAATACCCCTGACGGCGGCAGATGCTGCCACCTTACGGGGCCCCAATTGTCTATTCGAACGCGAAGATAAAGGACCACAAATGCCTTTACATCCATCTATTAAGAAGTTAATAGGCAAAAAGCCTAAAGATCTTAGTGAAGTTATTAGATCATGTCCCAAAAGAACGGCGGCTCAAAATGCTGTGCAAACTATACGTGCGAAGTCACAACTACAAAAACGTGAAGAAAGAAAACTTAAGCAAATCATACGGGAACAAGGCATTGTTATAGATCATTCAAAACAAAATTCCACAGAAAATAATGTGAGTTCATTGTTAAATGCCGCCGCACAGAATAATGCAAATAGTAGTCAAGATTTAACAGCCACTAGTGTTAAACAAGAGAAGAAAGGCAAGAATATTGCTAATAAGCCTTCTGGAAAATCTCTCAATGCTGCTCGCCTTAATAATAAGATTAAACATTTGATAGTGGTGGGTAATACCTCAAAGTATATTGGGAATGAGGTGGAAAGGGATATAAAATCGCAAGCGCAAAATCTAACTCACAAATGGTTGGTATATGTGCAATCGAAAGATTCGACGAAACAACCCATAGAACATTTTGTTAAAAAGATACGTTTTCATTTGCATCATTCCTATCGTCCCAATGATGTAGTCGACATAGAAACACCTCCCTTCCAAGTGTCGCGACGTGGTTGGGGTGAATTTCCCATACGTGTGCAGTTATTTTTTCATCCAGAATTTCATCAAAAACCAGTACAACTTGTGCATAATATTATTTTAGATCAAACCTTGTCTGGTATACAGACTTTGGGTGCTGAAACTTTACTGGAAATTTGGTTAAGGGAAGTAAAATCTACCAGTCCAGTAAAGGAACTTAAACCAGAAACTCAAATAATGAAAAAACCTGAAATTCCCACAAAGCTAAAGACAAGTTTAATGAGCCGTTCGGAAGAATTAATGGATGACAACTTATTAGATTTTCTTAATAAAATTGAAGCATCTCCCTGTTCCATAAGTGCTGATATAGAGAAAATACAACCTACAGTTGTAGTAACCGAACCATTGGGAGTTAAACTTAAAACTCCTAGTCCGGAGAAATGTAAAGCTTTTTCACCAGCTCAACCAAAGTCACCAGTTAAAATGCCACCTTTGTGTGAAATAGCAAAAATACCGGAAAAATCTATAGCGAATATTACAACTACAACAAATATTACCATAAAAGAACCCGAAAAAACATTTGCTAATACCCCAACTGCAATAAAGAATACCAATATAGAAACGACCAAAATTCCTGAAAAATCTTTAGCTATTACTCCCACCGTAACAAGCAATACTGTGACGGCAGAAGCACTGCTAATAGAACATAAATCTTTAGCACTTACCCCTACCACAACCAGCAATACTATAACTGTTTCAGCTCCACCCTTAACAACTGTAGCTGCAGCAGGAGAATTTAAAACACCCATATTTACCAATGGCGCTTTAACCACAAAACCTATGACTACTTTTGTTCGATTACCCCACAGCTCGACACAAGTTAGATTCATCAATACAACAACGACAGTTTCAAATAACATACCACCACCTCTCAGACCCTTAACACCTACACCGCTAACCACAACAATTCCCCCTCAAGTTATAGGCTCAACAATAACACAAAAATCTTCTTTGGTTCTAAATAAAGATGGTAAAATACTCATGCCGGCGGCCTCGGTTGCCTCAGCTGTACGTAGAACTATATTACCTATTGTTAATAGCAGTTCAACCTCCAATATCCCATCGAAAACATCACAATTTATGAATGCAAATAGGCCGAATCCAACATCGTTGTCTTCGGCGGCTCCCAAGCAAATTTTACAAAAGAAATTGGTTCAATTGGTCGATTCAACGGGTAAAGTTAAATATATTCAAATGTTAGTTGCGGCCAGTTCTGCTTCGTCTAGTGTACATAATTTGAGTACATCATCGGTAGCACCGAAACTTATATCGATGGCTCCAAGTTTAGTGAAAAATAATACAGGTAAATATTGCTATAATTTTGAAAAACTTTTAAACTTTTTTTCTAAAGACGTCATGGACTCTGGGCTTTTTTGCCAATTAGTTTGCCTTTGTAATATGTTTCTCGCAAATGATTGCGAGTTTTACCACAAATCCATTCAGTTCGAAGGATCGAATCTTTCCTCCAAAACATCTGTTTTATAGAAATTATTTAATTTTGCTTCTTAAGTTTATTGCCTATCAAAAATCCAATCATAACATCTCATTTCTCTTCATTACAGTCACAAATACAACACAAATCACAAATACCGTTACTACGCCATTGCTAAGATCACCAAATGGTGCACAACTGATGCCGGCCATGACAATGAAACCAAATATTTTTAAAATTGTACCTGAAAGTATGCAAACAAAACCACAAATTCTAACATTTAGCACAACAACAGTTGTGGCTACGAATACAAACACCGTAACAACTGCACACAATCAACAGCAGCAGCAACACAATCAGCAATTGCAACATTCAATTGCAACAAGTACACGAACGATGGGACAAATATCAACTCCATCTACAATGAGGCCCCATAGTAATAATGGGCTGAAATTACCAGTAGCAAATAAATTACAAAAACCCAATGGTACTAATCCCTCAATGAATGCCACTAAAAATTTGGTATTCCAAAAAGAAGGTAAATTGTATATAATCGATCCACAGCAAATGAAATACAAACAGCAGCAGAAGAAACAAGTTTCACTGCTGAAACCACAAATAAGTTTGCTGAAACAACAGCAGCAACAAAAACTTAATAATACTCCCCTAACACCACCAGCCACAGCAGTCAATTCCTTGATAGACACTAAGCCAACAACTACGCCAACACAATTAACGAATAACACTACGATTGTGCCACAGGTTCACTTTGGCCTTAAACAGCAACGTATTAACTCTATTAATGCTCTGCAGCTAATACAAATGAAACGTGTTTTATTTGAGAAACAATTTCTGCGTCAAGAGTTTACAACTGTACGTTCAGCCGTTGAATTTCTCTTAAGAAGATTAAAGTTAGTAGTCTCTAAAGATTCTTTAGTAGCTGTCTTTCCCTTTGTCTGTCATACGCTGCAAGAATTTCATTCACTTACCGCCTTTAAACAACGAGCCTGTGAGTGGTTAAGAGCCAAAAATATTTCGCGTTTGATACGTAATCACAAAGACTTGCAGCGTCTAAATAACACCTCTAAGGAAACATTTTGGTCTACTAAAGAAATTGCTATATTTGCCCGACAATATGCCTATACACCTCCCATTAAATCATTACCCAAGCCGGGTGAACAACAAGAAGCGGAGGGAAACAATAAAAAAGATTTGATGGATCTGGTTAAGAGTGAATTGAAACAAGAACATAATCTACAATACGACACTCTAACCGATCATCAGAAAGTAAGTAAATGGGTAGATAAAGTGTGGCATACTTTGGAGGAATTTGAATATCATGAAGATCAACATCAGTTAATAGACATCGATGGCATAACTGAGGAAGAACCGAAGAATAATAAGAGAAACTCTTCTTTAAATCATAATACTTCTAATATTTTACCTAGTGCCTCTACTTTGGACACTTATTTAACACCTCCTTCTCACTTAGAACATCAGTGTCAATTGGTTTCTGATATTTGTAAAGATTTACACATAAAACTCAATCACGAAGAATTGGATACAAAGATTTATCATCCCTCGACCCAGACGGTGTTAGCTCAATGTCTGCATTTGTTTATCGAAAAACTTTTACGTCAATCTATAGCTGAAAAACAGGAGAAATCGTCAACGCCCTCTACTTTAGAAACCATATGTACTCTAATGCCCCAAGATTTGGCTAAGGTTTTAGCCACTAATAGCGAATTTGATTTTCTTACCAATAATAATTTTGGTAGTGCCTCCTTGGCGGAGTGCTTAGAATCCGCCATTAAACAAGAGAAATCTTGATTGTTTTTAATCGTTTATAAGTTTCAACCTTTTAGCGCCTTTTTTCATTTTATATCATTAGTTCTCTTTTCAAAAGTATCTTTCTCTTAAACATTTCTAAAAAAAATTATGTACTCATTTTGAAAATCAAGAATTTCTTTTAAAACTGACTTCGAAAATTTTGTTTTTAAAATATATTTTTTTGTATGATATAGTTAATAGTTGACATAGTCGTTAGCTAAATAATAAGAAAAACATATTATATTTTAAAAAAATATTGTAATTTAATTGTTGTAAGTTGTAGATAATAATTAATATTAAATCTAACTTAAGCTAAATGATATAAAATAAATTAATAAAGTTGAAATTAAAGTGCTACTACTATATAATATTTTATAAAAAAAAAATGATGTATAATTATTTGAACAAAAAAAACCTGACGGATACTATCCAAAGACCCAAAGGTCATAGGTTACCTATAAAGGAGCTAGAGCTCATGGACGGAGTCTAGCTCTGAAACTTTAACTCTATTTATGGAAACACTTTTTCCGGATTGTCTGTCAAATGAAGTTGAGGCTGACGACCAATGGGACTTTTGAGTCTGTGGCGACAAGTCATACCCCGAGTTATATAGAGGATATAGTTACTAGGGAAAAGTAAGAATGGACGGTCAATTCAATCGACCCTTTCAAATTACCAGGGCCGAAAGGCATATTTTCTGCTGTACTAAAGAATTTACCTGTAGACGCTTTATCTATTCTGCTGATTATTGATAATATTTGCCTTATCAGTAGGTATTTACCAAATAGTCCACATGCTTAGCAGCGGAACTATAAACACGAACCTAGGGGATCATTGCAATAGGAGAAGGAGGGACGCTACAAGGAAGGGACGCTCCTCTATTGCGGTAGGCGTCTTTACTTATAAAGGCGACTTTATTTATAAAGTTCGTTATGTGAACTGAAAGTCCAATTTTTGAACTTTAAAATAACGGTTAAACCTCAGACTCATAGTCTTAGTAGATTATTGCCTCAAAAGAATATTTTCTGAGTTTTTCTCTTATTATTGATCAATAAAATATAGATTTAGTGTGTAGTCTAGTCTAGTCTATAGTCTAGTCTATAGTCTAGTCTATAGTCTAGTCTATAGTCTAGTCTATAGTCTAGTCTATAGTCTAGTCTATAGTCTAGTCTATAGTCTAGTCTATAGTCTAGTCTATAGTCTAGTCTATAGTCTAGTCTATAGTCTAGTCTATAGTCTAGTCTATAGTCTAGTCTATAGTCTAGTCTATAGTCTAGTCTATAGTCTAGTCTATAGTCTAGTCTATAGTCTAGTCTATAGTCTAGTCTATAGTCTAGTCTATCTAGTCTATAGTCTAGTCTATAGTCTAGTCTATAGTCTAGTCTATAGTCTAGTCTATAGTCTAGTCTATAGTCTAGTCTATAGTCTAGTCTATAGTCTAGTCTATAGTCTAGTCTATAGTCTAGTCTATAGTCTAGTCTATAGTCTAGTCTATAGTCTAGTCTATAGTCTAGTCTATAGTCTAGTCTATAGTCTAGTCTATAGTCTAGTCTATAGTCTAGTCTATAGTCTAGTCTATAGTCTAGTCTATAGTCTAGTCTATAGTCTAGTCTATAGTCTAGTCTATAGTCTAGTCTATAGTCTAGTCTATAGTCTAGTCTATAGTCTAGTCTATAGTCTAGTCTATAGTCTAGTCTATAGTCTAGTCTATAGTCTAGTCTATAGTCTAGTCTATAGTCTAGTCTATAGTCTAGTCTATAGTCTAGTCTATAGTCTAGTCTATAGTCTAGTCTATAGTCTAGTCTATAGTCTAGTCTATAGTCTAGTCTATAGTCTAGTCTATAGTCTAGTCTATAGTCTAGTCTATAGTCTAGTCTATAGTCTAGTCTATAGTCTAGTCTATAGTCTAGTCTATAGTCTAGTCTATAGTCTAGTCTATAGTCTAGTCTATAGTCTAGTCTATAGTCTAGTCTATAGTCTAGTCTATAGTCTAGTCTATAGTCTAGTCTATAGTCTAGTCTATAGTCTAGTCTATAGTCTAGTCTATAGTCTAGTCTATAGTCTAGTCTATAGTCTAGTCTATAGTCTAGTCTATAGTCTAGTCTAGTCTATAGTCTAGTCTATAGTCGAGTCTATAGTCTAGTCTATAGTCTAGTCTATAGTCTAGTCTATAGTCTAGTCTATAGTCTAGTCTATAGTCTAGTCTATAGTCTAGTCTATAGTCTAGTCTATAGTCTAGTCTATAGTCTAGTCTATAGTCTAGTCTATAGTCTAGTCTATAGTCTAGTCTATAGTCTAGTCTATAGTCTAGTCTATAGTCTAGTCTATAGTCTAGTCTTCTTGAATAATAAACGATTTAAGACTTCTGTCTTTAATTAAATTTTATTTAGAAGTAAAGAAAATTTTCTTTCAACAAATTTGATATACAAAATTAATGAACACTAGATTAAAATAATAACAAAATTTATAAAGTTATTGAATTAAACAAAGTTTACATATTAACAAGTTAACAAGTCTATAGTCTAGTCTATAGTCTAGTCTATAGTCTAGTCTATAGTCTAGTCTATAGTCTAGTCTATAGTCTAGTCTATAGTCTAGTCTATAGTCTAGTCTATAGTCTAGTCTATAGTCTAGTCTATAGTCTAGTCTATAGTCTAGTCTATAGTCTAGTCTATAGTCTAGTCTATAGTCTAGTCTATAGTCTAGTCTATAGTCTAGTCTATAGTCTAGTCTATAGTCTAGTCTATAGTCTAGTCTATAGTCTAGTCTATAGTCTAGTCTATAGTCTAGTCTATAGTCTAGTCTATAGTCTAGTCTATAGTCTAGTCTATAGTCTAGTCTATAGTCTAGTCTATAGTCTAGTCTATAGTCTAGTCTATAGTCTAGTCTATAGTCTAGTCTATAGTCTAGTTTATAGTCTAGTTTATAGTCTAGTCTATAGTCTAGTCTATAGTCTAGTCTATAGTCTAGTCTATAGTCTAGTCTATAGTCTAGTCTGTAGTCTAGTCTGTAGTCTAGTCTATAGTCTAGTCTATAGTCTAGTCTATAGTCTAGTCTATAGTCTAGTCTGTAGTCTAGTCTATAGTCTAGTCTATAGTCTAGTCTATAGTCTAGTCTATAGTCTAGTCTATAGTCTAGTTTATAGTCTAGTTTATAGTCTAGTCTATAGTCTAGTCTATAGTCTAGTCTATAGTCTAGTCTATAGTCTAGTCTATAGTCTAGTCTATAGTCTAGTCTGTAGTCTAGTCTGTAGTCTAGTCTATAGTCTAGTCTATAGTCTAGTCTATAGTCTAGTCTATAGTCTAGTCTATAGTCTAGTCTATAGTCTAGTCTATAGTCTAGTCTATAGTCTAGTCTATAGTCTAGTCTATAGTCTAGTCTATAGTCTAGTCTATAGTCTAGTCTATAGTCTAGTCTATAGTCTAGTCTATAGTCTAGTCTATAGTCTAGTCTATAGTCTAGTCTATAGTCTAGTCTATAGTCTAGTCTATAGTCTAGTCTATAGTCTAGTCTATAGTCTAGTCTATAGTCTAGTCTATAGTCTAGTCTATAGTCTAGTCTATAGTCTAGTCTATAGTCTAGTCTATAGTCTAGTCTATAGTCTAGTCTATAGTCTAGTCTATAGTCTAGTCTATAGTCTAGTCTATAGTCTAGTCTATAGTCTAGTCTATAGTCTAGTCTATAGTCTAGTCTATAGTCTAGTTTATAGTCTAGTCTATAGTCTAGTCTATAGTCTAGTCTATAGTCTAGTCTATAGTCTAGTCTATAGTCTAGTCTATAGTCTAGTCTGTAGTCTAGTCTGTAGTCTAGTCTATAGTCTAGTCTATAGTCTAGTCTATAGTCTAGTCTATAGTCTAGTCTATAGTCTAGTCTATAGTCTAGTCTATAGTCTAGTCTATAGTCTAGTCTATAGTCTAGTCTATAGTCTAGTCTATAGTCTAGTCTATAGTCTAGTCTATAGTCTAGTCTATAGTCTAGTCTATAGTCTAGTCTATAGTCTAGTCTATAGTCTAGTCTATAGTCTAGTCTATAGTCTAGTCTATAGTCTAGTCTATAGTCTAGTCTATAGTCTAGTCTATAGTCTAGTCTATAGTCTAGTCTATAGTCTAGTCTATAGTCTAGTCTATAGTCTAGTCTATAGTCTAGTCTATAGTCTAGTCTATAGTCTAGTCTATAGTCTAGTCTATAGTCTAGTTTATAGTCTAGTCTATAGTCTAGTCTATAGTCTAGTCTATAGTCTAGTCTATAGTCTAGTCTATAGTCTAGTCTATAGTCTAGTCTATAGTCTAGTCTATAGTCTAGTCTATAGTCTAGTCTATAGTCTAGCCTATAGTCTAGTCTATAGTCTAGTCTATAGTCTAGTCTATAGTCTAGTCTAGTCTAAAATCTAGTCTATAGTCTAGTCTATAGTCTAGTCTATAGTTTATAGTTTAGTCTATAGTCTAGTCTAGAGTCTAGTCTATAGTCTAGTCTAGAGTCTAGTCTATAGTATAGTCTATAGTCTAGTTTATAGTCTAGTTTATAGTCTAGTCTATAGTCTAGTCTATAGTTTAGTCTATAGTCTTTTCTATAGTTTAGTCTATAGTCTAGTCTATAGTCAAGTCTATAGTACTTTCTTAGGTGTTAAAGTACAAAACAAATTGTCCCATAGACTATTGAAAGACTAAACTATAAACTATCCAATATACTAGATTATAGACTACATTGTAGACTACACTATAGATTAGACTATAGACCAGACTATACACTAGACTATAAACTAGACTATAGACTAAACTAAAGACCAGACTATACACTAGATAATAGACTAGATTATGGAATAGACAAAAGACTATGACTAGACTATAGACTAGACTATAGACTAGACTATAGACTATACTATAGACTAAACTATGGACTAGACTATAGACTAGACTATAGACTAGACCAGACTATAGGCAAGACTATAGACTAGATTTTGGAATAGACTATAACACTATACTATAGACTAGACTATAAACGTGTATAGATTAGACTATAGGCCAGATTATATAGAGTAAACTATAGACTAGACTATAGACTAGACTATAGACTAGACTATAGACTAGACTATGACTAGACTATAGACTAGACTATAGACTAGACTATAGACTAGACTATAGACTAGACTATAGACTAGACTATAGACTAGACTATAGACTAGACTATAGACTAGACTATAGACTAGACTATAGACTAGACTATAGACTAGACTATAGACTAGACTATAGACTAGACTATAGACTAGACTATAGACTAGACTA